TAGGTTAGGTTAGGTTAGGTTATCGGGTTTTGTTCAAGTGACCACCCTCTTTCGATCCCCCACTTCCACCCGCTTGAAAATAATTTTTTTATTGAATTTTATTTGAATTATAGTGTATGAAAATTGTCAAAATAATCAAATTTCAACCCCCATAACTTTTTATGGGGGTGAGGCCGCCACAATTTTTTTATGAGATTTTATTCAGGTGACCACCCTCTTTCGATCCTCCCTACCCCCACCCCCATCTAACACCTCCATAACGTTTTATGGGGATGAGACCGCCACGAACTTTTTATGGTACAGTGGTGGGGGAGACCTCCTCTTTCGATCCCACCCACCCTCTTAAGGGATTAGATTTCCTAAATAGCCTCGGAGTTGTATACATTTCCTAGGAATTGTATACAATTCCTAGATTTCATACATATCCGCTAACCCATACAGTAACTGGTGCTTTTCTAAAGCGTTAAATGACAACTTAATGAGAAATATTGGTTTTTATATTGCACATATAAAACAAATTTCTATTGGTTCGCTGCAAATATTGCAGCACACACGTCCGCGAACTAAATAGCGCATCGAGTTAGTCAAAACAATTAAAATGACGATCGTTTGATTGATTAACATATTGCCTATTTAAGATAATAAATGAGATCTAACAATAGTTTAAAAAAAAAAAACGGGACACAAATTATGTAATTTCTACTTTCGGTGAAAGTTTTACCTTACCTGTATACATATAATGGTAGTTTTATAGCAATTTTATACATACATACAGAGGTATTATTATAAGTACAGTTAATATAATTAGAGGAACCACATGATTGATTTATTGTACGCCATTAACTGTTTACTTCGTAGGAGCATAAGAACTAATTAACGAACGATATCTCAACAAACGCATAGTTGGGCATGTTCTTAATTTATGTGAATTATGAGATAAACTCGTGACTTATGTCATGTATTTAGTTTATGGTTTATCTTACTTATCGTGTTATCGTAATGATAATGTAGAAGTACACATGTTTGTTATGATAAAATGCTTATTGTAATTTTTGGAAAAGCCGCTTGATTAATGTCTACAAATTCGTACGGGACAGAAATAGAATAAAATTATTAACTAAAGACTGAATGCGGAAAATGGGAAACGCGGAAAGTTTTGCTAACTGTGTATTTTTTTATAGGCGTTTGGTCGAATGTTATTGCCTGCTTAATATTTATAACGAAGTTTTGCCATTAGGACGGGCGCCAAAAATGTTCGGAGTCTTTCAAGGAAATTCCATTCTACTTTTTAAACATTTCGAATAATCGTGAATCATTTGGTGAAATTTAAAAGCGTTTGACATTGTTTACTTGATGTCATTAAGGATGAATTTATGTCTTTCTGGAAAAATTCGTAGACTTATGCATTATTTAAATCAAGGACATTATTCAGATACATACATATACCAATTCGTTTATGACATTCTTGCCATATTTTATGGAGATGTATACAACTGAATTGTACTTTTATCATAGTTATGCATGTGCTTACAACAAATATTCAATTTAAAGTAACATAAGATGGTAATTTTAAAAAGTAATATTGCATTTGAAAACATATTCAGTCAACTTAAGTTAGATTCCTGACCGTTACTTTTAAATTATCTACAGAAGAATCCGCTTATAATAACATCGAAAGGGAAATGACAAACGCTTCATACAAAGCATAGTCTTAGAAAATAAACAACTTTCTATTTTGGTTAGTTATTTAGTTTAATAGAGAGAAAAACTACAAATTGTATATATTTATTAACAGAAAAAGAAAAAGAACGACGAATTATAATATCAATATACATAAGAAGGGTCAGAAAAATGATCGAAAATGTTATTATTAATCACTATAGCCTGATATGATTTCTTGAGAATCAGTCATAATAAACGATATGTCATTTTAAACTGAGTCATTATATGCAAAGTTTCCTATAGAGAATTTAATATGAAAACCAAACTTAACACTGCTATCTTCAGACTGAAACAATTTTTGTTTTTTGCTTATAGTTCTACTAGGTTAGGTATTACATTTGTTTGTAAAATATAATAGTTAAAGAACATACCATTTGGAATGTTACTGCTTGCACACAGACATTAACTTAATTTTACATTTTACAAACAAATGTAATAAACAAATACTTAACCAAGTAGAACTATAAGTAAATCAGTCTGAAGATGGTTGAATAAACCGAAACGTTACAAAAAATATAAAGTTGTTTAATTATTTGACCGCCACCCTGGAAAGAACTACATAATATTCAGTCAAGTTCAACTGTTAGACTCAAAAAAGTTAAAAGTATATACATGGGTGAGAAAACTTATTTGAAAATTTTTATTTTTAATAACATTAATGATTAATGGTGTAAGTTTTGTTTGCTTTTTATCGTGCAGATGTACAGCCGAACTACAGTTAAAAAAGTAGTACGTATGAATGTCGATGTGGGGTGTTCAAATATATTCATATCGCTTCACGTGATCATTTATACCCTTACAGAAAAGTGCTGCATGGTATTGTTCAAGTTTGTATTCTGTTGATCTCCCCCAATTCAACAAACGCCACCCTCCGTGGGTAAGGGGTGTACTAATGTGTAACCTATATATCTATGAACACATGTCGGCGCCTATTGTAGTGCACGTGTTTGCTACGTGTTTGTTATCTCTAATAATATATACTTATATAATATAGCTCAATTTTTTTACACATCGATGATGCGCACTATCTATTTGTCAAATTCCAAGAAATGTTCGAAATAGTGATTACCTGATTATTTATTGCCTAATGTTTAGTTTTAATTCCAAAAGTCTTGTAAACAATTGTGTTTAAATGTATATAGATTACAATTTTCAAATATTGTTCACGATTAGGAGTACCCTCCTCCCCAAGGGAAAGAAACATTAATTACATTTACAGTCGACATATGTGTATGTAGTCTATACAATACCTCGAAATAGAGAATTACTGCAAGGGCTATAATTTTTTTTGTACATTTAACTTACACTTAATTTATTGAAAAATTGCAAACTATGTATAAGGAGTAAATTACTTTTATAATGGATGTAGTTGCTAGAAAGGGTGGTGCCGGTATTTCTTTTGAGAAGTACATTCATTATGTAGGCTTGGTGTTTTAAGATAGTTTGAAACGAAATTGGCAATCATGCTAGTCAGGCCTTAATTGCACCGTTTCACGATGAGATTTTCCGTTTTCCCGATTAAATTTTCAGCGAGGATAGAAACGTTGTCGGCGTTAATGGGAGAATTAATGGTCCTTTCGAAAAATAGGGAGAACGATTAAAAAAGCGTTATCAGGACTCGTTCGTTTACAAAAAAAAACAAGCCAGGCTCTTAAGACTGCAATTAATTTTACGTTAAATAGTTGGATTATGTAAAATGTAAAGCAAATAATAAGTTCATATAAATACGTGTGAATTAAATTCATCATCATCAAAAGGTCGTCAGTCCTAAGACTGGTTGGACACGCACCTTCACTCCTTTGTATCCTGAGCTAATCTTCACACTTCCCTAATACTAGAACATTTCACATCCTTAACTATTTGCGAACAGTAATCTAACCTAGGTCTACCTCTACTCCTCTTAACTCCTGTTTCTGCCTCTAATATGTCTCTGACTAGACCTTCATGCCTGGGAAGGTGTCCTACCAACCTATCTCGCCTATTTTTTATTGACTTTTATAGAGTCCTCTGTTCTCCTATTTTTTCTAACAACTCTTCATTTCTGACTTTCTCTATCCACGGTATCCTCATCACTCACACTACCTTTTCTTTTCCACAGCGCCCACCGTCCATGTTGCGCACCCGTACAACGCCGTGCTCCAAACATACACCTTTAACAACCTTTTTCGAATTTCTAAATTAATCGTTCCCGAGCATAGAAGTGACTTCTTTTTATTGAAGGCGACTCAACCGTGCGCTGTTCCTGTTTTATATCCCTACCACACCCTCCGTCCAGACTTATTTGACTTTTACTACAAACCATCTTGTAAGCAATAAATTATGTAAAAATTAGGTTTATAAACTATAACAGTTTCTATTTCTAATCTGTAAAAAGAGAATCAGTTTCAATGCCTCACAATATACATATGTTCAGAATAACAAGCACCCCCTTTTTACGTACATTTACGCAGGGGGGTATCTGCATGTCAAGCGAGAAACGAATCAATTATGTAATTACAATTTATTGAAGCCATCTAGTTCGTCCGAATTATGTTCATA